AGAAGAACGTTCGCGCTTTCTGCGAGAGAAAAGAGAGAGGCGAGGTGAACTCAGGGAGAGACGAGTAAAAAGAAAGATTGCCTCGGTTTGCTCTCCCGGCTTCTCTCCTTCAAAAAAGCGGACTAGAATAATTACACATTCCCTCTCTCGCGTACAGTAGGGGTGGGATCGTGCATGCGCGGTGCGCAATAAATAAAACTTTCGATCTTCATGATCTCGACGCGAGTGTCCCTCGCATTACGTAATATTCCTTAACGACATAAGCGATATAACAACTTCCAATGTGGATTATAAAAATATTCAATCTTTGTCGTACGAACTAGTTAACCTATTGATATGTAAACTATCGATATGTAAAATTGATATGTAAAGTCACGGACCAATGTGATCCGCATGCCGCGTGAATCTACGAGGCGATCGCGTTCGTCTCGCAGATCTCCGCGTCTCTATTTTATTTTGGCCGGCGTTATTGTAACTTTCGTGTTGCGTTGTGTATGTATGTGTGTCTCATGTGTACATGTTTTGTATATTCTTGCATGTTTTTTATAATGCAATAACAAGACGCTGGTCTCGCATGTATCCGCTGATGACGGCGCCGGTACTTTCATTGTGAAACATCAGCGCATTACATTTTCTTTCTCAAAAATAAAAGAGAACCGATAATCAATAGCTACTACTTATCCTTGTCGGTATCCCCGAAGAATATCGCTGATCGAAACGATATAATTCCAAAGAGTCTTCGCCGACAACGCCGGCTCCTCGTCGACGTCGTGATTAATTCCGATGATGATCGGCAGCGATATTTCTTCCGCGGTGAGGACGACAGGGTATTTGATTTTAGTCGAACGATCATGCTCGCCGATGGATGCACGCGCGACTCGCATCAATAACGAACGAGTCGGGACTTTCCACGATGGTTATTCCTCCGGCCAGCCGAGATCCTCTCCGACGAGTTCGTAGAAGCGTTGATTGTGCTCGTTGAAGAACTTCCTCAGCTTCGTCACGACCATCGGACTGACACGCGGGTGACGCCTCCCTTTACTCTCCTTCAGACATTTCTCCGAAGTCTCGTTCCTCAGGCAGTAGAAACCCTTGGTGTGGTTAAAGTAGAAGTTGTGCCGGCCGATGCGCGGTTCCAGCCCGAGGAAATTCTCGATTCGGCGCAGCTGAGGCACCGGATCCTCGATCAATTGATCGCCGTTCACTATGAGGATCTGCTCTCTGGGGAACACTTCCAGCCAACGATGCATATAGGTGTGATAGAGCGATATGGTGACCGGTCTATAGGACTCGTTTATAGTACCGTCGGGTCGCATAACGAGCTCCTCGAACGTACGTGCCACTTGCTGTTGTTGTTGTTGCTGCTGTTGCGGCGTGCCGTTGGTCAGGGTGGACGCGGTAGCGGCGTGCGTGCGCAATTGCGTGTAATCCGATATCGCCCGGGTGACCGGTTCCCGGACGATCAACAGCAGCTTGACGCTGCCGTTCATCGCCCGGATTCTCTCGGGCACTTCGGGCGTCACGAAGTAGCTGGGGCTCTTCTCGATGGTGATCTGTCCCTTGAAGGAGTACGGCATCTTGCGACGGTACCACTCCAGACCCTTCCCGTAATTGTCGTCACGGTCGAAGAAGTGGACCTCGCCGGCGGCCTTTTGTATCTGCGGATGCAGGAAGAGCATCTCCAACAGTGCCCTCGTGCCGCACTTGCGTACGCCGATTATGATGGCCTGGGGAAGATGGCGATTCGTGCGCGGGAAGTGAACCTTGGAGTTGGAGAAGAGGAGAGGCGGCGTAGCGCGTACCTACCATAAATCCCACCGTATATGGCAGCCATGTGTCTTTGGAGACATTAGCGGTTATGCATTTCTGTTAGAGAGACTTACTACACGTACCTGAGAAACCAGCTCGACCGTGCGTCCTTCGACGGCGGAAACCGCGTGAAGGCTGTAAACGGCACTGTCGTAAAGTATGTGGAAGGTGAGGAAGAGAGACAGCAGGGCGACTGACAGAAAAGCGACGGCCATTTTCGATCTGGATACGCCGACCACTAAAATGCAATCCGACCCGTCACCCTCGGCCGGCCTCATGGCGGAGCGGGGCATCCACCTGCGGCAGACATCGAAAAAAAAAAAAACGCTTGTCTCGCCAGATATTCCAAGTACCAACGTGGCTCACTCGAGCACGAGTCTCACTCTCTGAAACGGCATTCTCAACTCGGTTCCCAAAGGGCAATCGCGTTTTTCCTTCGTTTTTTCCCTCCTCTTGGCACGCAACAGCGCCGTTAGTTACGGTTGATGTCTCTAATCTATTCTTTCTTCACGGAGGCGCGGTAGGAATGATTAAGTCTCGCAATGATCGTCGATTATTACAGTGCACGCGGACGCACGGATACTCCGCGAACGTTCAATTTACGGGCCATTACGTTTCTCGAGACTGATTTAGCAGAAACTAGAATCGTCAGATGGGCAGGAGGGATACGTTACAAGTACGTTAAGATCAATAGATTACTCACAGATCGCAATGCGAGAGCCGTAGCTTATTTTCCCGCTTAAAATTCTAGTCAAGGGAATCGAAACAATTTCGAGCCGCAACGGCTTGTGAGCGATAATTATGCAAATGATTGACATTTACACGAAACGCTACGGTCGCCGGTGCAAATTTATCGCGGGTTACGCTCGCGTGGCAGACGAACAAAGCGGTTGTCAATGTCGCGTTCGCTAATTTTGTTCTCCATTGAATGCGGGTTCCGAATCGATCGGTGGATTTACCGGCGTCCCGCGAGCCGTACGTTAGGATTTCATAGCTCTCTTCGCCGACGATAAATCATCGACCCGCATGCTGTCTTGTGAGCGAAAAATAATGGGTGATTAAGCTTCAACCGCTCCGTAAGATATATCATATCTTATGTATTTACCCCTTCTAATATATGTATTATCAATAATTATGTCGCGCTACGTCACAATTTGCTGTTGATTATCGTTGTTAGATATGTCTGGAGAGATAATAAAAACTGATAACAAATATGTCATCATGAAATGTATTCTCGCGATTTACCCTAAATTATACATCTCTTATCACGGCACTAAGTGAGATATTTACAACGTCAGCGCAACAGGACATGTAAATTACATGTCCTCATGTGAATAAAGATCCTATGGTGAAAGTCGTCCGCGGCAAACGAAGCTCGGAATGAATCAGAATTCACAAGTGACGAAACTTATAGTCGAGTGCTCTTAAACTCCGAATAACTAATGAACTTCTGAAACGAGACATGAGAGGCCGGGGATGAAGGAGGGTGAAAGGACGAGGGAGCGGAGGATCGATTCGCTATAAATGATGCAGAAAGGTCGGTACCCCTGAGACAGAGCGTAATCTAAATTTGATGCGGCTGCATTTTGTATTCCGATGTAATGGCTTCTCTAACGTTTACCGCCGAACCATGCTTTAGCCATGTTACATCATCGGTTTCACGTTGATTTGTCAGAGTAATCAAGTACGTACCGCATTTCTCGTCTCGTCGTTTCGCTCCTAATTGTAACTCGAGTCACAATTAACGAATTTATCGCTAACGAAGTCGTTCTCCCTTCATCTTTCTGTCCCGTTTACATCTTCCGTTTGAAAAATCTTAAAAACCCGCGCACGTTCGAAGGAGATTGTTGGTATTTACGGGTGTTTGCCCCTACTTTCTTCTTTATCCGAGTAATTAGATACTTAATGTTACAAACTCTATGCGCGTATCGTGTATCAAGACGTTTTAATATATTATATTTTTAGCATGCCCCTCCTCTCCCCTCGTCCCGCTTCGAAAGAGTGATACTCTCGGAACAGTATTTCGCGTTATGGTTGACTCCGTATTGCGCAACGGGAGCCATTTGATGCGCAAGTTTTCTGGCTAAAATTTGCTTTGTGCCGTTGTGTGGCGCGGCGCGGCGCGGCAGGCCGAGGTGTTTCCGTGGGAAATACGCGGCCCGTGTTATTCGAACAAATTGCAATTTCCAGAGTTGCCTTCCGCGTCATTGCGTCGCTCGTGATATAGCGATGCTCGTGACTATCGACACGACCAGCCATTTACTTATTATCACAGGCTTATCAAAACGTATATATAATTACATGACAAATTCATAACGCATTAACGTAAACTTGCTAAATTGACACTTTGGCGATTTTCCTCGAAGGAGACATTAAATTTGACGACCGTGTGTTACGGGGATAACTGTGCCGTTAAGAGATAAAAGAAAGATTGCAACAAACGATGATCTTCCGTTCCGTTAAAATTGAACTTTATCTCGTGAGCTCAGCTAGCGTAGCCGCGGAAAGCAGTAATTTTCTCGTCAGGAGGACAAGCGCGGAAACTTTAACTAATTACTAATTACACACGGTTCTCTCGTCCGCGAATTCCGCGAGATTTCGATGAAATCGAATCGAGCAAATGGAGGAGAAATGTATCGAGATATATTATATATTTTCCATACAGTCTCGCCGGGGATTGGAATCTTTTTGATACTCACAAGACATCTATGGGGATTGAGGAGACCACTCTTGACGAGGCCGTGCCTTGTTGGGCATTTGCGTTTGTTTGTACGTTCACATTGTTGGAGTTCCTGAAATCACACAAATCGTCTTGTTAGAAGATGTTTACTTTGTCCAGTCCATCTTACGATATATTTGAGCAACGTAATGCATCGTAATGTATCGTGATCAAGTGGGTATTTTGGACGGCATCGTTATTCCATGACGCATCGATATACAATAATTTTACGATTTACAGATTACTTAATAAATAACAACCACATAATTTTTCGTGACGACAATGGTTACAGACGACTATGTGCTATGGGAAATCAAACGCTTTTCAAGAAATCCCTTGGTGACCCAGTTTGCGCGACTCGGAACTTGTATAAGGCGTAAATAGAATTATTCGCTGGAATGGCAACTTTTCTCATTTTAAACTGTCAGTTCGCGGCACTTGCTAAAAGCTCCGTATAAGTATCTCAGATGTATCTTATATATATTTTTTAATCATATCTCAAGCCTTACGACACAGAGATCATCGCGGATTTATATCACGTTATTACGTTTATCGAGAACGGTTATCGGTCGGGGTCTTCAAAACACATCGTACGTCCAATACCTTTAAAACGCCGTAAATGTTCCGCTTCACGGAAAGAAACGGGAAATGATATCGATTTATGTTCTATACGTTTCCGTGTCTTTATGTCTTTCTCATAAATAAGCGGAGATTACGGAACAATTCTTATCAGGTATATCCATGCTTTTGCTCATCGAGTGCGCTCTTCGGAAAACAACACGACGATGCACCGGCGCATAAACACACGTATCCATTCATCTGCGTCATTACGACGCGTTGTACCATTACGCTCGTTGATATATCGCCATGTTCTATTCCAAGGACGAGACACGACGATCTATGCACTCGTACATATTTGCGTCTCTCCGTTCGCGCGACGCGCGCCGTGAATACGTAATACATAAAATACCGATGTGGGACAAAAGGGAAAAAAAAAATAAAATAAAATAAAATAGAAGGGTAATACAGAATCGAATTTCCTCCCGCTGGCCTTGAATGCATTCGCAGGAACGTATATCGATCGAATAATGCACCTGACGGATTACTCCGGCTGTCGATTCGTTTTGCTACGTAACTATTTTCATCTATGTCAGTCTGGCGACCGTCTGACCGTTGCACGAAATAACAAGGACACGTCGAGTCGTCTCGCGTCGCATTGGGGGATGAATCAATATATCGAATGCACACGGCTCGGGGATATAGCTGTGATGTAACTCATGACATTCTTCCGCTTGCGTAACATCGACCCCTCCGCGAGACGGCGGAAGCGTGGGAAGAGGATGGAATTAACGATAAGCAATAGAAACGAAATTATGCTCTATTTATCATCGAGATGCACTGATGTGTTATCCTGGTGCGCTATCCTGGCAGGTATTTTGCTATTCTCTCCACTTTTTCTGAAGTTAGACGAACGGATGACATTCCTGACAAAATATCATCGTCAGAGATAGATAAGATGATCTTATGCATGAAAATGAGGAATTAAGATAAAAGGGATATTAAAAATTCAGAACCCGAATGTTGCATTTGTCTTCAAGAAGAGAACAGAATAAAAAGATAATTCTTGCTACTCCTTCCAGACAGATTTTTTTTATTTCGCCTTTGTCTTTTTTTTAGAATTAATTCTATGTTACTTAGGCCTAGTTGATTAAAAAAACGTGACAATTATAATGTTATATATAATTAGATGTAGGAAATATCGATTATAAATTTTATATGCAGAGTTTTTTCGCAGTTTGCATCGAAAATGAGGACAAAAGGAAATTCTATTATTTTCGCCTCAATTATATTTAATTCTTTTTAATGAATTCTCTCTCTCTTTCTCTCTTCCTTTCTCTCTCTCACGCACATACATACATCCACACATATACAAGAATTCGAAGAAAAAAAATGCAAATTCCAATGGATTGCATGATCTCTGAACAGCGTCTACGAGAATCGTTCGAGGGTTACCGCTACTTTAATGATCGCTTTGGAAGTTGCCGGTCGATGTGTCTGAAGCACGCGAAAATGGTAAAAGTTCGGCCACCGTGCCGGCAACAGCAAAGGTAGTGGCTGCACCTGCAATCGATACTTTCCCAGAAACTTCCAAGTGTGTCGTGAATTTGACAAATCGGTTAAACGGAGCGAAAATATTTTTCCATCGACCGTACGTATATGAACATGTAAAAACAGTATGCAGCTCTTGCACGGAAAATAATATTCCGTCTTGAGTCTAATGTCTATGATGCCAGTCGAAATTATAATTGTTTTTAAAATTAAAGTAAAAAGTACATGCCAAGATACATTCGTGTTCCTACAACGATTTGGGGTCGCCAAAGGGTTGGCGATTATGTACGGATTGCGCTTGAAATTGAACGTCGCCAGATAAGACAGCCTGAATAAGTTTGACGGAAACGGTCATTTAAATAACGGCACGGTAATCGAGATCCTGCGTCCAAAACTTACTTTCTCTTATCGAAAGGTCAAATTATTCTGTGGATCAGTGAAAAGGAGGCATTGCCAAGATAAGACGCCATTTGTTAGCAAAGGGTGCCCGTTCCTATTATAGATAAATGTTATCTGCGTTGCGGCTAAGCTTCGTAAACGTAAATATAGAATTAAGCGCGAATCTGTATTTCTCATACGAAACCAAGTAATAGAAAGAGATGAGAAGCCGTTCAGGAGAGATTCGATTGTCTTAACTGATTTTTGTTTGAAAGTTAACAAGGGACTTCTTGAGCTTAGCACGATTT